TTCAACCCAGAGCCTCATGCATGCTAGGCAAGTGCTCTGCCACTGAGATACATCCCCAGCTCTTTTTAAAATTTTATTTTTAGGCTCTTGCTGAGTTGCCTAGGCTGGCCTTGAACTTGGAGTCCTGCTGCCTCAGCTTCAAGCACTTAGGATTAAGAGTTGTGCAACATGATGGCTAGCTTCCTCTTTTTTAAAAATAAACTTTTGAGTAACTTTACATTTATAGAAAAGTTGCATTTAAATAGTGCAGAGTTGTATATCCATTACCAGTTTCCTCTAATTATATAATCTTATAAAAAACCACAGTACATTTGATAAAATTTAATGTTAATACTGTATTAATGAAATTTGAAAAATTTTTCAGATTTCAGTAGTTTTCCTATTAATGGCTTTTCTCTTTTCCAGAGCCAATCCTGGATACCATATTGCATTTAGTAGGTTTTTGTTGTTGTTGTCCCGGGGGATCGAACTCGGGACCCTGCGCTTTCGAGGCAGGTAGTGGCACCACTGAGCTAAATCCCCAGCACAGTTTTTTTTTTAAATGAACTCTATTTTACGTATAAAGTATAAAATGTAAGTTTGATTTTAAAATGTGGTTTTAAAAAAAATATGGTTTAGCTGGACGTGGTGGCATTTGCCTGCACTCAGGAGGCAGAGGCAGGAGGCTTGCCTTGAGTTCGAGAGTAGCCTGAACTACATAGTCAGACCTTGTCTAAAAAAAAAGTTTGTTTTTTCAGTTTGCTGTTTTGGGGGTACTGGGCTAGCACCACTCAAGTGTTACCATACAAATCATTCTAAGTGTTATGAGAATTTAGCCCTCATTTTCAGTTGGTTCCTCCCTTTTGATTTGGAAGACAAAGTCAATCATGGACATATTTATTTATAAAGTTGCATGGTGTAGGCGAGGAGAAGGAATTGGAGGGGGTGTTTAGGACAAAAGCAGCTTGAGAATACATAGTTTCTTCAATAACAAAACGTGCAGCTGTGTAATTTACTAGATTGAATTTGTGGTTTTTTTGTGGTACTGGGGATCGAACTCGGGTCCTTTAGTTTGCGAGGCAGGCGGCGGAACCGCTGAGCTAAATCCCCGGCCCTAGATTGAAATTTTTTAATGGGAAAAATCAGCTTTTGGCTGACAGGATATTATCAGCGAACTAGCCTCTACTTTGTGGTCCGCTTAATCCTCAAAACAGTTCTGCGAGATAGGCACTTCCTTCCTTCCTTTCGCAGTGGCTCCAAAAAGTGAAATAATTTGCACAAAATCTCGCAGTAAAGCGCCGAGGCATTCCAACCATCCCGCCAAAGCCTGGACTGCGTGCAAACGGACGCACTGATTTGAGAGCTCCTCATATCACAAACACCTTCAACCTCCGGGAGGTCGCTGGAGTACCTCGGGTGCGCGTGCGCGTGCGCTGCCCCGCCCCATGACGTCACTTGTCAGTTCCGCCCCCTTCTGGAACGCGGAGCCGCTGAGTGGGCCGGCGGCCATTTTGTGAAGCAGCGAAGGAGGTGGTCGCTGCGCTGGGCCACAGGACGCCGTTCGGGCTGGGGCTGTCGGCCGCGGGGCAGAGGCACTCGCGCGGGGGGTAACTCGGGTCTGGGTTCTGGTGACGCGCAAGCTCTCCCCGGTAAGACTCCCGCAGCCCCTGAGCGGGCGGGACTGTGCGGGGCTCGAGCCTCCCCTAGGTGGCCCGGGGCGGGGCCTTTGGAGGCCTCCGAGCCCGCCGCAGCGAGCGCCCCACACAAAGGGTTGGGGCAGAGCTGTGGGGGACCTGGGGTGCCACTTGTACCTCTGTGGCCAGAGAGGATGTAAGGACGCCGCCAGAGGATGAGCCTGCGTACTGAAGTGGAGACGAGGCCTTGGCGCTGACGCCCGGATGATCTGAGATAGGGAAGCAGCCGGAGCTGGGTGGCCCTGTGGCCCCTGAATTAACGGGGACTGCAGTGGAAACATACCTGCATACCTAATGGGGACCACTTCCTTTGGCTCCAAGTGGGGCAGAGATTATAACTACACCTCTGCTTCGAAGTGGGAAAATAACCATAGTGAGGACGCTTCCTCTACCCGAAGTGGAAAGGAGGCCCCTGTGGCCTTCCAGCAAAAATAGGCTACTGTGAGGACACACCTGAGTGGGAGGAAGCCACAGCCAGTGCACTCTTGTAATTGCAGGAAGTCGATCTCTGAGCCGGCCGCCGTTTTGGCCTGAAGGTGGTGGGGGTTGTAGTGACACTTCCTAGGCCCTGCGGTGGGGAGGGACTTACTCAGGGATCTAGGCAGTTTGAGAAGACCGTGTCTGTAAGCTGCACCTTTACTGCTCTCTTTAGAGAGAATCCTCTGGCGCTGGAGTTGGAGTTCTTGTTGAGTGGTGGAGCGTAAGTGGTTTTGATGGGTAGTTGTGTTTCTCAGAAGCTTGGTGGCGCTGGTTTGCAGCCACGTGAAATGGACGGGAGGGCCTTTGAGGACCTACAGGTGATGGGGATGGACTTTAGTGCAGCACACTTAGCTGGTACAGTGTGAGGACTTTGAGTGTGCCTCCAGTGAGTGCTTTATAGTGAAAAATCTGAGAGGCTCCGGTCTGGGCTACTCGGAATTATTTAGTGCTAAGCATTCATTCAGTTAGGTAGTGTATATTGAGAATTTTAGGGGGTGCTGTATGGGTTTCTCGGCCCTAAAACCTTGGTTCCTGGATTCCCAGAGATGACCCACAGTAAATGGGGGCTGTTGATAGGAACTGTTTTGTATTATTTAAAATTAGGATGATGCCAGTTAATCTGGGGGGGAAAAACGGGCAACGGAAGGTTGTTGAAGGGAAAGGGTTGCAACTGGAGTATTTGTTAGAGGTGATTGCTTGAATAGTTTGAAATGGTGTAAATTTTGCAAAATGCAGTCTTAGCAACAAGAATTGCCTGGGACCTTGTTAACTAGTGTATATATATATATTTTTTAGTGTATATTGTTAATTATTTCAAAGCACCTACAGTTGGAAAAACAATTCTCACAAGTCTGGATATGTAGAGAAATCTTGTTTGTGTGGTTTTTTGTTTGGAGTTACAGAAATTAATACAAGACTGGTTGTACTTGATTTTGAAATTTTGTAGTTTTGGTAGAATGGAGGGTTTTGTTTTTTACTTAGTGAAAGGTAATTCGTATCAGGCATTCATCTAAGAATATGGTGCTTCACATAAACTCAATTTTTGAAGGAAATGTTTGTGTGTTCAAGAGGATGTGTTTAGTATGTATCATTGGACAGCTTTTTTTTAAACCAAGACAATGATTTTTGTTGCTTCTTTATGCTCGATTAAATGTTGATTACTTTGTATGTGGGCTGTAATGCATAATTTCAAATTTTCTTATGTTCAGATATTTTAGGTGAAAAATGCAGCTTTAGAAATCATCGTGGTAGTTTTAATGTGCTACTTACTACTAGTACACTTCAGGTTTCTTTAACTTTATTTAAAATGTCAGATTTCTTAGAATTTGGGGTTGTTGGTACAATTTTTAGATAAAACTTGATTCCAGTGACAATATTGATACTGCCTTTATTCCATTTTCTCAGAGCCACACATCATTCAGTTTGGACAAACATTTTCTTTTGTAGATGTAGGAAGAATTGTCAGTAATTTGTTGGACAAAAGATGTTTTTAGATGTCCTTCAGTAAAATCAAAGACGTGTCCAGTTTTACATTTTAACGCTTGGCCCACAAGAGTTTAATAAATGTTCTTGGAAATGAATACTGTTAAATGTTTTAGGTCTACTAAATAGAAAAATTATTTCATATAAGTTTTATCAGATTTTACTGTCATCTATGTACCCTTCGGTTTGCAGAGGTTTAAGTTTAAAGTCAGCTTTTTAAGTCTTCAAACCATAGGGAAGGTGAATATGGTTGGTTTAAGTTAGAAGTAATTTTTCTTTGAAGTGTAAATGAAGTAAGATAATGACCATTTTAGTTGCTGTTTGGGGAGATCAAAAAATAATATTGAAGTCTTTGGCAGGAGGAATATCTTAGAAATGTCTTTTGACTTGCTGCTGTCTTTGAGTACTGAATGGGAAGTTAATGGGAAAGCTGAGCATTGTATTATAAAAGGGATGCATCTGTATCAATGTCAGAAGAATTTTTTCATTTAGAATGATCCCAGCATCTGAAATGTGTTCCATTGGTGGTGGGAGACAAAATCAAATGGATGAAGCTGTGGTTGTTTCATACTGCTTACCATAATGTGATTATACTGCTTTATGGCATTCTTCCCTTTGTAATTGATCTGTGTTGCTCATCTTTGAGGTGAACGTTTTAGGAGGTTGCTAGTTTGTTTCCTTTGAATCTGAAGTGTTCAGTTCTGATTCTTGTTGAATAAAGACTGATGACTGAACAAAGTAAAAATTCATTTTGGGTGTGTATTAGCAGATGAAGAGTAGAAATGGTCAAGTTCTAGTTTGTGCCTTGACTACTTGATGAAGAGATTTGTTGTCAGACATTTTATTCTAAAATCCCAAATGATAGGAATGGCTAGTAAATGAAAATGTCTATCCTGTCATAATATGCTGTTTTTAGCACACATTTGTAATTTATACACGTATCTGATATTTGTCACCCTGAAGCAAAGTCTGTATTAGGACATGAAGTGGAAACTAAAGTAAGCTGTTTCTTTTTTAGGTCTCCTGAAGTATATCAATAGATTAATAGCAAAACAGGCCCATTTTCTTCTTGCTTATCCTTATACTCTCTATATAGGTAAAATATATATTTTTAGTTGTTTTCTTGGGTAGAAATCAGTTTTGTTCTTGTGAAGTTCCCCAGAGATTATAGGTGAGTGGGGTGGATTTTTAAATTTGGGAGCCTGCATTTGATTGTTAACATTTATTTTAGCATGTAGGAATGAGCAGGTTCCTGGAAAATATTGATACATTTATTAAATTATTGTTTACAAAGTGAGACATTGAAACAAGTACAGTACTTCAGCTCCCTTTACCCTTTTTTCCTTCTGAAGAAAGATCTAATAGCAAAGGTTGTAATTTCTGGTTTCCACTTTGTGAATACTTGGTTTGGGTGGTATTGGACTTCTTTGTAAAAGTAAAAGCAGTACAAATTTGTGTCTGGATTGATTTTTGTGTTGTTGAATACAAAATTGAACTATACATTTGCCAGATACAGCTGGGTTTTCAACCTTTTGTTGCTAAGAATTTTTCTCTTATTAAAATAATTTCTGGCAACCTTGTAGAAATTTTTGAGTACATCTAGTGAGTGCCCTTTGGGTTCAACTGGCCAATCCCAGTGTTCTTTTCCAGCTACCTCCATGGGTCTGGAAGAAAAGAGGCTGAGAAATCTATTTCCTTCATTCGTGGCATATATGCCCAGTTCTGTATCAGACCTTTTTAAATGAGAATTTCAGATTCTAATGGGGTCAGATGTTTATCACAAGTACTTACCTAGAAAATTTCCATGGTTCTGTAGCTTCTAAAATTAATCCTATATATTTAGAAATCAATATTTCGGTCAGATGTGGTGGTACAGTCTTGTAATCTCAGCACATGGGAGGGCTGAGGTAAGAGGATTACTGTGAGTTAAAGGCTAGCCTGGGTTATATCGTGAGGTCAGGGCCAGCCTGTCATGGCAAGGTCATGGCGAGACCCTGTCTCAAAAAAACAGTAGATAAATAAATAAATATTGCAGTACTTTATGCCCTTAATTGTTGTATTTGAAGCAGATTTTTTTCTGTTTCATATTTCCTTTTGTGACCAGTTAAATAAACTGCTGGATGTGGCTTTTTAAATGAAGAATTTTTAAAGTCTTCAGACTTAATTAGGATGGATTTCTACATGTCAAAAATTACTACAATGCTCTGGGCTTTGAAAGGTGTCTTCATAATATTTGCATAGCTTTCTGTGGCAAAACAATCTCACTATTACCTAGTAATTTGAGTAGTTGCTTTAAAAGATATTTGGCTTCTTTAGACTAGTTTGGAAATAACACTGAAGATTTTTGAAATTTGCTTTACTTTTTGATGATGAATCTTAAGCTCATTAGTTGGTGTCTTGATTTTGAAAAATGTTAGAAATGAACATTCAGATGAGTAGTCTCTGGTTAATACTGAATAGTGGCAATTATTTCCTTTCTCTGAATGTAAAAAAAAAAAAATGACCTTTTGAATGTAATTGTTTAATCATGTGGTCACAAATATTACTGGTGAATTGTTCCAAACTTCACAAGTTTGGAAGAAATTCCAGTGAAAGTTGAGGGACCTGTTTTTACTTTGGGAAATATTTTTAATATGTCAGATACTTCAAGGCAATTTTTTAAAAAGTTTTTTGAAACCGTTGTGGTGTTAGAACTTTTCCTTAATATGTTGAACCCCAGTGAAATTAGTTCATATAGCCAGAATTTTCACTTCATTTATGTTTGTTTGATGATATTTTGGTGCAAAGGAAAGTACATGGAAAGAGAAATTGCTGTAATTTCTGTGAGCACCCTTGAAGACTTAATGTGTTCAGGAGTTGTTTTTGTGTGAATTTGTTCCTTTTCTTCAAAAGTTTGGTTGGAACCTAGGAAGGATAGGTACAGGTTGGACTTCTTAGAAATTTTCTGCATTGGTTTAATCAAGTAATAAAAGCAATCAGTTACCAGCTCCAAAGCTAAAATTTATGACTCTTTGAATTTTTGGTTGGTTCATTCTTGGGCTAGTTTGTGACTCACTTTTGATGTATTTCAATATATAAATATTTTGAGAAACTCTAAAGTGTGAAAGCAATACCAGGTTAAAAAGCATGTGTGGGATTTTGGTATATGCCTTGTTTGTTTTTTTTTCCTTCGGAACCCAGGGGTTGAACTCAGGACCTTGTGCTTGCAAGGCAGGCGGTGGTGCCACTGAGCTAAATCCCTGGCCCAACCTTTTTTTTTTTTTTAATTCGTTCTAATGAAATATTCTGGTGGTTTGAGACTCGCCTTCATAATGTACAGTTCAGTGTGGCCTGTGTGTGTTGTTTTGTGTTTCTTGCATTGATTTTTGCCTCCGTTTATTCTCTATTGCAGTCTAAAAGTTGGTTTTAATTGGTTGCCCACAGGATTGACTTGACCTCTACTTGTTAAGAAAATACATCTCTTGTTTTATCAGGTAAGAGACTTTGAATAGAGGGTTTGTTTAATACAAAATAAAATGAGATGGCTTTTTAAGAAACATGAAAATTGTGCTCTTTTCAGCAGCACATATACTAAGAAACATGAAAGTATGTGTAATAATTACATTGTGTGCGTTTACAAGCCTGTCTGGGGGGTGGGGTGAATGGACACCTTGAGTAGTTGCTTCATTTGAAGAATTAGTTTTATATGGATGCATTTCTTTTGCTACATTCCTTATTGTTAGGTAGTAAGAAGTTAGCTATTCTTTTTCTTCAGTAGCATAGGCTATTACAAATACAGGTGTTTGTTATTTGTGTGATTATTTATATTCCCTGGAAGTATAATTATAGATCCTGGATCATAAGTTTAAGTACAAATTTTAGATGGAACCTGAAGAATTGAATAATCTTTTTGTTTAAATAATTAAGCTAGGGCCGGGGATTTAGCTCAGTGGTTCCACCGCCTGCCTTGCAAGCTCAAAGACCTGAGTTTGATCCCCGGTACCAAAATTAATTAATTAATTAATTAAGCTAGACTCAAGATAGGTTGAAGTGACCTATCTCTTAAACAGGTACCTAGTAACAAAATCACAGATGTTGCATTTTTAAAACTTAAAACTTTTTTTCAGATGGCTTTATGAATAAATTTTGTGCTCTGCTTTAATTTTCAGCCCTTTTCTAACTGGTTATCTGAGGCACATTTTCAGTGGCGTGTTTTCATGTGTACCTTGAACAGACTTTCATTAAATCTCTTAGCAGAAAAATGGTTTTAAGACTTAACTGTCATATAGCCTTGTGTTTAATTTTCTTGGAACCATATCCAGTTCCCATTTTATTGTGTAAGTCCAAGCTAACATATCCCTCTCAGGTAGTTTTGGATACTTGGGTTGTTTCCTTCACTTAAAGTGATTAGATATACTTTGATGTTGAACAGGAATGCTATCTCAATTTTTCACATAGCCACATATTTTAGATATAGTAAGGAATGCAAATTTGGTGTAATTACTTTAGTAAAAAAGAGAAAGTCTGTCTATTGGTATTTTTTTAGTGCTAATTTTTCTTGTTGATTCTTGCAGTCCACAAATGAAAAGCTTTACCCACTTTCCCCAAATTTCTAGTGTTTTATAATGGTCTCACAAAGAACATTTTCTGTTGTGAGTCTTAATCTTTCTGGATTAAATTTTAGAATAGCTTTTATATTATTGAGTATAAGCATATGAGAAAAACCATAAAAACCAAAAAGTATATTTCTCTTTCCTTTGTGTGGTTTTTTTTTTGAGATACTACTGTGTTGCCCAAGCTGGCCTTGAACTCATGATCCTCCTGCCTCAGCCTCCCAAGTAGCTGGGCTTACTGGTACATGCCACCATGCCCAGCTTATTTGTCATAATATTGATACAATTACAGATTTTATTACTTTAAATTAGTATTCATACAACACTTGAAGAACTCCTTTTATGGAATTGCATAATTCTCAGAGGTTATGGCAAGGAACCTTGCCTCTTTTAATGTTCTTGTTTCAGAAGCGGACTTCCTGAGGTCTCAGAGCTAGTTTAATACTCTTATCTTTAAAAGTTGGTTTGCCCAAATTAATTTGAAGTTAATAGTTTTTCCAATCCCACATTAGAACTTAAATACTGAAATTTGATGTAAATTTGGGAGAAAGTTTTCTTTTGACTAAATCAAAGTAGATATTTATTAAGGTGATCATTGAGCAACCAGAGATCACACAGGATTTTTGTCGAGTTGGAGACTGTAACCCTAGTTTTTCTAAAACCAAACCAAGAAGTAACTCTTCTTTGTCATCCTACCCATAGGGGAAAAATAAGAATTTTTTTTTAATGGAGAGTTTGGGAATATGTCATTGAACCTCAGTTTTAATTAAAATAGCCACAGTGAATGTACTGTAATTATGTTCTGCTTTTTAAAAGGATGGATAAACTGGCCTGGTGTTGCACATTTGTAATCCCCCCCCCCTACTTGGGTGATTGAGGCAGGAAGATATTCAAGGCCAGCCTAGACAACATAGTGAAACACTGTCTCAAAAACAAAAACCACTTGGTAGATCAAACCAGCTGTCCTATTTTTTTTAGGATTCTTAGTATGCATTAATCTTCTTTGTAATAAATTATACATGCAGTTTTTCTTAAAGCTTTTATAAGCCTGAAGTTTTTGGATGAAATATCATAGCAATACAGTACTCATTTGAGGCTTGAATCTGTTTTAGTGTTAATTATTTGTAATTCATGGGCATTCTAGTTCTGTTTCTGTTGGATTTTGAGAGTGGGCCCTATATATGACACTAATAATTCTATGAAATTACCAAGTTTATTGGAAAGATGCTAAACCAGTTTTAAATATTAACTTTGGTGCATCCTTTGCATGATTTCTTTTCCTGTATGTTTCTTGATTTGACTTACACATTTCTTTTACATCTTTCTGAATGATTAGTGGTCTGAGTGATATACGTGGTGATTTTACTGTTCTATAGTTGTTATTTTCTGAAACTTTGAGTTTTGGGATCGAACTTCTGATTGTTTCCAGAAGTAATGCCTTTGGAGGTTGAAATTTTCTAGGTTTTACATTGTAGTTGGCACTGAATGTTCAGTTTTTAGCATATCTAAATTAAAGAAAGACATTGTTTATTGATAGTTTGAGGGACTGTTTGAGGGCCTAATATGGTAAATGGTCATTCTTGCATCTAAAAACTTGGTATGATAAACAGGAGTCTGACCTGGCCGTTGCCTTTTCTCATCTGCAGGTGTGTGTGGTTTCAGCGCAGCATGGCTGTGGTCATCCGTTTGCAAGGTCTCCCAATTGTGGCGGGGACTATGGACATTCGCCACTTCTTCTCTGGATTGACCATCCCTGATGGGGGCGTGCATATTGTAGGGGGTGAACTGGGTGAGGCTTTCATCGTTTTTGCCACTGATGAAGATGCAAGGCTTGGTATGATGCGCACAGGTGGTACAATTAAAGGGTCAAAAGTAACACTGTTGTTGAGTAGTAAAACAGAAATGCAGAATATGATTGAACTGAGTCGTAGGCGTTTTGAAACTGCCAACTTAGATATACCACCAGCAAATGCTAATAGATCAGGACCACCACCTAGCTCAGGAATGAGTGGTAGGGTAAATTTGCCTACAACTGTACCCAACTTTAATAATCCTTCGCCAAGTGTAGTTACTGCTACGACTTCTGTTCATGAAAGCAACAAAAACATACAGACGTTTTCCACAGCCAGCATAGGAACTGCTCCTCCAAGTATGGGAACTTCTTTTGGGAGCCCAACGTTCAGCTCAACCATTCCGAGTACAGCCTCTCCAATGAATACAGTCCCTCCACCACCAATTCCTCCAATTCCAGCACTGCCATCTCTGCCACCGATGCCATCCATTCCCCCAATACCAGTTCCCCCTCCAGTACCTACATTGCCTCCGGTGCCTCCTGTCCCCCCAATTCCCCCAGTCCCTTCTGTGCCACCCATGACCCCACTGCCACCCATATCAGGTATGCCACCCTTGAATCCGCCACCTGTGGCACCTCTACCTGCTGGAATGAATGGCTCTGGAGCGCCTATAAATCTGAACAATAATCTGAACCCTGTGTTTCTGGGTCCATTGAATCCTGTTAACCCTGTCCAGATGAACTCTCAAAGCAGCGTGAAACCACTTCCCATCAATCCTGATGATCTGTATGTCAGTGTGCATGGAATGCCCTTTTCTGCAGCGGAAAATGATGTCAGAGATTTTTTCCATGGGCTCCGTGTTGATGCAGTGCATTTGTTAAAAGATCATGTAGGTCGAAATAATGGGAATGGATTGGTTAAGTTTCTCTCCCCACAAGATACATTTGAAGCTTTGAAACGAAACAGAATGCTGATGATTCAACGCTATGTGGAAATTAGCCCTGCCACAGAGAGACAGTGGGTAGCTGCTGGAGGCCATATCACTTTTAAGCAAAGTATGGGACCTTCTGGACAAAGCCATCCCCCTCCTCAGACACTTCCCAGGTCAAAATCACCCAGTGGTCAGAAAAGGTCAAGGTCAAGATCACCACATGAGGCTGGTTTTTGTGTTTACTTGAAAGGGCTACCATTTGAAGCAGAAAACAAACATGTCATTGATTTTTTTAAAAAGTTGGATATTGTGGAAGATAGTATTTATATAGCATACGGACCCAATGGTAAAGCAACTGGTGAAGGCTTCGTAGAGTTCAGGAATGAGGCTGACTATAAGGCTGCGCTGTGTCGCCATAAACAATACATGGGCAATCGCTTTATTCAAGTCCATCCAATTACTAAGAAAGGTATGCTAGAAAAGATAGATACAATTCGGAAAAGACTCCAGAACTTCAGCTATGACCAGAGGGAAATGGTGTTAAATCCAGAGGGAGATGTCAACTCTGCCAAAGTCTGTGCCCATATAACAAATATTCCATTCAGCATTACCAAGATGGATGTTCTTCAGTTTCTTGAAGGAATCCCAGTGGATGAAAATGCTGTACATGTTCTTGTTGATAATAATGGGCAAGGTCTAGGACAGGCATTGGTTCAGTTTAAAAATGAAGATGATGCACGTAAGTCTGAACACTTACACCGTAAAAAACTTAATGGGAGAGAAGCTTTTGTTCATGTAGTTACCCTAGAAGATATGAGAGAAATTGAAAAAAATCCCCCCGCTCAAGGAAAAAAGGGGTTAAAGATGCCTGTGCCAGGTAATCCTGCAGTACCAGGAATGCCAAATGCAGGAATCCCTGGGGCTGGAATCCCCGGTGCGGGAATCCCCGGTGCGGGAATCCCCGGTGTGGGAATGCCCGGTGCGGGAATGCCCGGTGTGGGAATGCCCGGTGTGGGAATGCCCGGTGCAGGAATGCCTGGTGCAGGAATACCAGGTGCTGGACTTCCCAGTGTGGGTATACCTGGTGCTGGAATACCTGGTGCGGGGATGCCCACTGCAGGAATACCCACTGCAGGAATGCCAGGTTCAGGAGGTGAAGAGCATGCCTTCCTGACAGTAGGATCAAAGGAGGCCAGCAATGGTCCTCCATTTAACTTTCCTGGTAATTTTGGTGGGTCAAACGCTTTTGGGCCACCTCTTCCTCCTCCAGGATTAGGAGGGACCTTTGGTGATGCTAGGCCTGGTATGCCTTCAGTTGGTAACAGTGGTTTGCCTGGTCTAGGATTGGAAGTTCCAGGTTTTGGAGGTGGACCAAATAATTTAGGTGGGCCATCAGGATTTCCAGGGGGCCCTCAGAATTTTGGAAATGGCCCTGGTACCTTGGGTGGCCCCCCTGGCTTTGGAAGTGGCCCTCCTGGTCTTGGAAGTGCCCCAGGCCATTTGAGTGGACCACCAGCCTTTGGACCTGGACCTGGCCCTGGCCCTGGCCCAATACATATTGGTGGTCCCCCTGGCTTTGGGTCTAGTTCTGGAAAACCAGGACCTACTGTAATTAAAGTTCAGAACATGCCCTTCACTGTGTCTATTGATGAGATTTTAGATTTCTTTTATGGCTATCAAGTTATCCCAGGCTCAGTGTGTTTAAAGTACAATGAAAAAGGTATGCCCACAGGTGAAGCCATGGTGGCCTTTGAATCCCGGGATGAAGCCACAGCTGCTGTCATTGACTTAAATGATAGACCGATAGGCTCAAGAAAAGTAAAACTTGTATTAGGATAGCCATTTATTCTTTATAGGGTAGATCTTCATATTGCTGTGATTAATGCATCCAGATTTGTTTTCCTAGTATTTTCAAGTTAGAACCTGTGGATTGTTTCAATTGCATATAGATTGGTTTTCATAACATAGAGCATTGGTGACTGTTTACAACTTACTATCAGGATAAACATTGCTGTATGTTACAGTAAAGCTATCTGGAAAGAACACAAACATGATTTTGGCATACCATTAGAGAAACCATTTGTAAAACCCAGTGATGACAAAGTTTATCAAGGAGTCTAGATTGTTTTGTTTTATACCATATGGGATGAAGAAAATAGAAATGTTAGTAGAGCTCATTGAGTTTGCTCTTGCCAGCTGCTGAAAAATAGAAGTTGGCTACCCTGGGAATTTGGTTTAAAGCTGAATAGATTCGCTTTGTTATAGGGTCAAAACTTTGTCTGAAGTCTTCATTTTCTTTTAAAATTTAATAAAATCTCTGTATACAGATTCATTGTATGTACCTTTATTGCTTCTTGAGGGTTCTTGCTGTATAGACAGTCCTGCTTTCGGACATTGCTGCTTTGTTTGCTAATCGACTCATTTGTAAATGAGCAGAACTGTGTTGTTGTTGTTGTTGTTGTTGTTTTTCTCAACCTAAAACTCCATACTTGGTTTGTGCTATAGTCCTGAACTTTGATTTTTAATGTCATACTTAAAACTGTGTAGAATAAGAGTTTTGCTATACAAATAAACTACGGAGTCTTCTACCTACCAGAGCCTTTTTGGTTTGACCACCAAGTTTTAGTTTAATAAGTTTAAAAATTGTTCATGTTGTTTGGATGGCATCAAAGACCAGACACCACTCTTAGTAATCAGAGTTAAGATGGCTTGATTTGAAGTCCTGTCAGTGATGGACTGATTGTTCTAGCAGTTTCCTTCTGTCCCATCATAATGTGAAATTTTGGCCTTTAAACAAAGAGATGTTCATTCATAAAGAGTATTATATGTAGGCTTTTAAAACTGAAATTGAAATTGTTAGCTTTGTTAGCAGTGGTAGTATAGAATAAAAGATTCATAAGATGGTCCATAGGTTGATATGTTAATCCTGTTAACTTGGAGGCTTTTTTGTGTAGTTTGGTATAAACGTGGAACCTGTTTACAAAATTTTTTTATGCACAGTAAAAGTGCAAGTGCCAGAGATGAGAGAATTGAGATTCCTTGCCCTTTTATGTTCTTTTCTTTGGGATTCAGGACACTAAGGTAGGAGGACCACATAGGATCTGGTTGATAAGTGTCCTTGTCATAAAAATTGGCCTTACAGCAACAAGGCTGTACTTCAGGTTTTTTTTTTTTTCTTAGTTAAAATGCTCAAAAGATGTGTCACATTATACTATAAACATATTGACTGGGAGATTGGTGAGTTATCATGGAAAATAAATTTTATCTTTTACAAGGCCCACTTGTCTTGATTTGAAACATCCCTGACATTTCCTACAAATCAGTGTACTTACAAAGAGATCAGGCTTTTAACAGAAATATATCTTGTTAGAAAATATGTAGTGCCTTTTTGGTGTTGTAAGTCAGTGGAACAGAAACACAGCGTCGTCGTGTAATTTAGTGTTGAGAGTGGCAACAGTTTTTTTTCTTTTTTTGTGAAATGATTGTGTTTAATCTTAGAGGATTGACAGTACAGGATTTTTGTTTAGGGAAAGGATTGTTTAGACTTTGAAAGAAAAGGTGGCGTTGTTTTGAGTCTTGGTAATTTACAAATACAAATATGCTTTAACATCACTAGATACTACCGCCTCAAAAAGTAATGCGATATTTGTATATGCTTTTCTATTAAGTAATCATTTATCATTTCAAAGACAGAATACAAACAACTTCAGAGCTGCTTGGGAGTCTGATTTCAACCACAAATTATTTCCCCTGTTGGAAAACTATTTTCATTTTAGGAAATTGGGTTGTTTTGAAGATGAAATTTTTTTTATCTTTTTTTCACAATTTGTTTTGGTTATATGCTCATATTCTTATTAAATATTTCATACACTTGATTGCAACTGCTTTGTTATTTCTACATCTTAGATGAATGCAAAAAGGAAAACTTGATTTCATTGTTCATTAAATAAATTAAGAAAATAGTGGTTTATATAGAAATTGGAGAGAACTTTGCTTTATATTTCGTTGAACCACAGCAGTGCTTGTTGTGAAATGTAATTAAATGCTTTGCCCTCTTGGAACTTGATTTGTGTATATCTGAGACCTATTAACATAGTGCTAACTGCTAAGCATACTGTTTATCTTGCTCTGGGCATTGAAGTTTCAGTTTTTAAAAAAATCCTTGAAAATGTGTTCTGTGAAACCTCTCTTCCTACGTATTTTCGTCTAACAATTAGATTTGGGGTAGAATTGAATTAATATTTTCTTATTTGCTTTGTACAGTATGAAGGATCTGTAAAGCTTTGCTTAAAGTTTTGTGCATTTGTAAACACTATCATGGTATTCTCAATTTTATGTGTAAATTTTATTGTCTACTTTTGGTGACTGACATTAATGAAAGAATCGTTTTCATTAGGCTTAATTTTTCTCCCTCCTGAGTTTTTATTGGTGTTTTGTTTGTTTAAAGGATTAGAGAAATCTGCAAATGTATTTTATGAATAAGCAAATTTGTAAACTTCTGAACTTCAGTGAAAGATTTAGTTCATAAGCATAATTTGGAGGAATGTTCTGTTTACACTAGTTTGGATGTACAATTATTAGTGGCTTTTTAAAATGCAGCACAGTGTTAAGTGAAATGTAGTTTCTAACTTTGTATTCCAAGTTGTCAAAGCATCAACAATGAAAAAGCCCACTGGGAAACTATTTATTGAAAATTTCAGATAGAAATATTCAATGTAGTTAATAGTTAAGGTCAGTCTTAACCCCACTAGATGAAAATCTAGGACTATACATGCAAGTAAGGAAATGTACATTGTTAGGTGGAAATAGTCACGTTGGATAAAAATAAGGAAGCGTAAAAAGCGTTTTTACTCAAAACCCCAGCTTTGTTTTACAGGGTTCTGAGATTGTATACAGGTGTGGGTTGAGTGTAAAAAAAATCTACTTATAATTTTAAGAACACTTGAAAAATGAGTAAAGAAAATGTCAAATTGCTGCTAATGAAATCTTTGAGAAAGAATTTCTGGCAGTGGTCAGTTTTGAAATTATTGCCCACCCTCACAAAATTGCCACATTTAAATTGTTTTACTTAAATTGTTTTACTGGCAGTTCTATAGTAATCCAAACTTTACAAACCAGACATAGTAAAATGGTCATTGACAGAATGGCCACAACATTGCCAGCAGATACTGCTTTGGCATCATTCAGCAGAGTTTTTGTTTTTAAAAATAAAAGTCTTGAATATTGTTCAATAAACTTGTCACAAAATAAAAACAGGCTGATGCTTTTAATACTTTAATTGCACAAAAGTACTGTATGGAGATATATATAGATATATAGATATCTATATATATCTATAAAATCAGGTTTTTTTCTTCCTTTTTTAACTCCTGAAAATATTTTGTGCCTTTTTTTGGAAAGGTGGATTTGGCGATCTTAGAGGTGACAGTTGTTGCTTATCCTTGTCTGCTATCTGCTAATACTGAAGTGGAAAGAAGAGGATGCCTGGAACGGCAGGGAGGAACTTGATTCTAGGTCAAATCTGTGATATCCACCTTTTCAGGGTTTGTGTGATTTTGCTAGGGAACTACTTAACGTGCACTTGAACAGGAGTCCATGTGCTCCTTTTTACAGGAATGTAACAGAGGAAAGGGAATTAGCATTTTGAAAATTGATTACAGTAAAAAATGGGGATAAATCTGCATAGATTCTCAGTTGCACACCTCTAAAGCTTTGTGTGTGTGTGTTGCTTTTTATTTTTGCTTTTGCATATGTGGGGTATTTGAGGTGGAGAAGAAAGGAATCAAAAATATTGCTGCTTCTGATATTGATGCTCCTGTTTTTGTCCCTTCCATGTTTGTTCAACTTCTGAAAAAATTAGCAAGTGAAGTTTTCATAAACTTTACAGCCCTTTAAAAAAAAAAATCCTGTATTAGAGTTATAGGAACTAGTGGGCTGCAGCTTATAAGCAAAGCTCTTTTTTAAAAAGTAACTTTTCCTTTATTATGAAAGCATTTAGCCCGTATTTGAATTGTAATAACTTCTTTTAGATGTGTTTAGACATACATAATTTGAGGTAGTAGCTGAGCAGTTTTACTTTTTAAAAGCTTTATTTTTTTGAGACAGGATCTTGCTATGTGGCCCAAGCTGCCTTTGAACTCCTGGGCTCGAGCAATCTTCCTGCCTAATCTAGTAACTGGAACTGCAGGTGTATGTCACAGTGCCTATGAGCCTTTTTAGAATTATCAAGATTGACTAAGCCCTTGAGTGAAAAATCAGCTCCCCACAGATACCCAGAATGGCCTTTACCATCTGAAAGGGGTGGACTCTGATAATTATCTTTTTCTTGCTCAGGAGAGATTGCTTCCATAATTCTTTGTTTTCTGCTTTTCAGTGTTTTGTAGCAAGATATAAGTTATCAGTTGTGTGCGTCCATCACTATTCTCCTAAAAGTAGAGATTATTTTTGTCTGTCTGTTTTAAGTCTGAGTCTTGCTATTTGCCCAGACTGGCCTTAAACTCAGCAATCCTTCTGTCTCAGTCTCCTCAGTGAGCTGGAATTACAGGTGTGCACCACTGCCTCTGTCTTAAAAGTAGAGCTTTTATAAGTTACAGTAGAATCTAAATTTATAACTTTGCTTTTTTATTTTAAAAATTTATTTCATTGTCATCTTTTTAGTATAAATTCTGATAGGTCATGGTGATTTGTAAAATGTTTTGGAAACAGTGTAATCTGGTAGCAGCACAATTCTTTTGATGCTGTAGTGACTTCTGGGAAAACCTTTTCTGTTCAACATAAGCAAGCTCATCTATTGGTACGTGATCAGGTAAATGTTACTTCTTCACATGGTGTACCTGGGTTTATTCTTGGTTCTTTGAACTTTAAGTCCGAGAGCCTCAGAAGGATCCTAGTATGTGACTTCTTTTCTGGGCTGTCATAACTAGCAATGAGCAACCAAGGTAGAATGCTTTACTACAAATGCTCTGCCAGTGAGTGAGCAGTTCAAGAGGGAGAAAAAGGCCACCTAATCTAGACATTCTAGCCCCAGGTGCAAGGGGGCAGGATTCTGAAAGTCCTGGGACAATATACCGTGCTGGGGAAACATCTCACTATATCCCTTGAATTCTGTTGAACTCCAGGGACCTCCCTTCATCAAAGATTAGGACATAAAGATTCAGTGAAACAATTGCAGAGAAGTGATAAATGGCACAGCAGAGCATTGGAAATGGGAGCACAGCTGTCAGACATCTAGACTGACTTTGGTAAAAGAGTTTTAAATCATTTTTCCTAACTGATGGCTTATCATTTTATGTTAAGAGGAGAGAGCAACTGGGGAAAATGGACAGTGA